TATGTAATTTGCACCAAAATATTTTTWAAATTATATATTGTATTGAACATAATAATAACTGGCAAAAATTTAAATTCTCTACAGATAATCATTTTTTTATTAAGTTTCTATACAATAAAATAAATTCGATAGTGTACATTTTTCCGACGCTGTGGGTATGTATTTAAGGGATGTGGAAAATCGAGAAAAGTGAAGCTACGTGATAAAGATGGCCGACCCTAAATAGTTGGGACGAAGGTGAATATGAAGAAGAAGAGTTCCGACGCTTTTGAAAATTACTGAATACCTTTACTTTTGACTCCCCAAATTTCAAACTTTCAAAGTACCGACCAATAAGATTCACTCTCCTGTCAGAAAATATACCTAAGTAGATAATCGAAGCATTTTTACTACAAATACTGCAACAAAAGCTGATAACGGATACGTGCAACGTGCAACTAATTTATATTGAAGTTAATTATTATAATAATAACAAAATATTTATATCTTTTATTTATAACCTAGAATCTAGATTATATGGTATAACTGTGTGAGCTATGAATTATGCTTAAAAAATTCTTATAAATACTAATCAATATACGTTTGAGAGTATGTACTAAGTATAATAACCAACTTCACGCAATCATAAAATGTTGTCCGGCGTATACTATAGGCAGAATAGGTACAATACTATACTATGAACAATATYATAATGATTTTTTGTTCATTATATAATACTTAAAATAATTGACAATATTGTCCATGTATATAAGCACGTTTAGCTCTTCAGAACTCTGTTGGTAGCAAGGAAGTAAAACTTTACAAAACAAATGAAAAAGGAAAAGTAAAAGAAGTTTTCCTGTATAAAAGAAAAAGGTTGCCAGCAAAAACAATTATAGCACAACAGTTCATTGTTGATTCTGATTCCTGGGTTGGATATAAAGACACATCTGAAAACGCCAAAACGGTACACGCGTCGAATGCTATCTGCATTTATAAAGTTATTTACATATTTTCTCGTTCTATTTTTTAACACGTTAAAAACTATTTTTATGATTCTATTTGTATATGCTTGGTCGATCAACAATTCATTCAAATATCAGATRAGTCCATGAGTGGCGATCAGTGATCACATTAGACATTAGACTATCACAATGTTCTTAACTAAACTATTAAGTTTTAACCAATAACCATATAACGTGAACTTCATAAACTCATACAGGTGCTCWAACATAAACAATTGAKTGTTTTTGGAGACACATAAAAGTGAAATATAATATAAAATCACATGGAATAACAAACTTACTTTAAAAGTTGAAATTTAACTATGAGAAAAATAGTGGCGTTCAATATATCTATATGCAGTTAATCCGACCAATGTATTTGAAAATTTTTAACYGTAAAATTACAGACTACAAGCTCCAATAAAAATGTTAGGTAAGTTCAAAATCCATTTTTTAACATTGATTACATACGAAATATTTGTGCCAATACACAAAGAATTGAAARTCTTTCGAGTCMTCTCTTAGACTGAAAATTATGAAGAAAATGTGTGATTTTAATGAAGACCTCTTAGAGAAGTATTTATCCTATTATTGGTGATCTGCAGGCATGTACACATGAGGGAGGGTGTTTTGGGTGTTCAAACTGCACCCTGCACCCCCCGAAATATTTGGTTTCTTACTTATTTTATTTTAATGTCAATTGTCATCTTATAGTATTATAATTTAAAAGATAGGTATAAATAATATTGCATTGTGTTTGGGGAAAACCAACTAAAGCAAAAGAAAAACATTCTACTTTTAAATAACTGATTTTCAAAAACACCCCCTAAAACTTTATTCTGCGTATGTCACTGGTGGCGTTTATTAAACAAAACTGCAGATGATACTTTTGATACAATTCCTTAGGGATATGAAATTATGGTTTTATTAAAATTTAGTCCTATAATAAATTCTTTGTAAAATCATAGTCGTAGAGTATAATACATTCATAAATAATTTTTTTAATTAACTAACATTTTTTTTCTATTTATACTTTTATAATATTATTACTGTAGACCACGCCTTTGTCGTTTTTTTTTGCGGGATTTATCCCGTATTCTGGTCACTCGGGACTCAAGCCGGTAGGCGGCATAGGCCTATGCCTACGCCTAGGACGGCATTTAACATTTTTGTAGCCAAGTTCTAATAAAATGTTTACATTTCTATTATGTTTTTATTAATTTTAGATTCTGAGCGGAGCGATGAATGTAGTTTTTTTTAAATTATTATTAAGGAAAAAGCCTCGGTAACGTTAAATATTTGTTATTATTCAAAAAGTATAAGAAGTCGTAGATACTTGAAAATTTTACCAGTTATTAAGATTGATATTTTCTTTACATGATTTAATTTTCAAAATATTTCTCTAATAGCTAACTTCCGTCTGACATTTCGGTGAGTAGCAATAACGGGTCAGATATAACAATTGACAAGGGAAATCAAACAAATTATATAAATAATAATTATACAATATATAACAGATATAATTATTATGATAAAACATCTCATACGGAGGATAAAAATTAACTATAAGAATAACTTGYGAGGAACTTTGTATTAAATTTTCAAGTATTTTGATAGGGCCAAAAAAAWTTTATCRACACTTCAAAARAAAWTTTTCAGAAAAATTGAAAATTTCAGTTGTCTATAAATACCTCAAAAAAAGTCAAAATATTTTTAAAATTAAATCATGTAAAGAAAATGCCAATCTAAATAACTGGTAAAATTTTCAAGTATCTACGACTTATACTTTTTGAATAATAACAAATATTTAAAATCGTTTCAGGATAAATCGTTATCGTTACGCTATTTCGTAAAAATTTAAAATTCAAACGCACTTAAAATTTTTCCTATAATGATGCATTGAGTTTTCTCTATAGCTACTTGAAGGTAAACTTATGGAAAACTTAGTGTTGTATTTTTAATCCTTAGTTATAAACGCAAAAATTTTTATGATTTTTCAACTTCAAAATTACTTGCAAATTTTCGCGTTTTCGACAGATTTCGTAAAATTTTGAACTGTAAACAATTATTAAAAAAAATTGTGATTTATGATTTTTGATTTTTTTTAGCTACAATAAGAACAACTAATAAGGAACCGTGTATTAAATTTTCAAGTTTTTTTGGTCGTCCAACATTTTTTTACTACTGACACTTCAAAAAAATTCTCAAAAAAATCGAAAATTTCAGTGGTCTATTAATAACTCAAAAAAAGTCAAAAATTTTTGAAAATTAAACTGTATATAGATAACACAAACATAAACATTTGGTGAAAATTTCAAATATTTACAGTGATCAGTTTTTGAATTACAACCATATAAAAAAATCGATTTGGTCGAAAACTGATTTTGCTTAAAAATTCCAGTTTTTCTGTCATTTTTTTTTTGTTATTCTCGATTTTTTTTAAAACTGTTGGAAAATGATTACATTTGACCTCTATAATGCAACAAGGATCTTCAATTTTACATCGGAAACCACCCCCAATGTTTGAAATCGAAGGATTATTTCGACTAGTTATGCTGTACACAGACACAAAAAAAAACACACATCATTGTAAAATCAATACATTCATCACTTCGTTCAGAATCTAAAAAATATTGATAATTAATACATATGTGTTATGCTTATAGAAAATTATTAAAATTATAAGTTGCATAAAATGTTATACAAATTATTATTTAAAATGTAAAAATACTTATATATATTAACATTGTTTTTATGTTAATATTATGTTACATACCTACTCAAATACATACCTAATGAAAATGTTTAAAATYGATTTATAAATTTAAAAATATTTAGTATGATTTCCGTTAATATAAAAAACTGAAATTTTCAATTTTTCTGAAATTTTTTTTTTTAAAGTTTTTAATCTGCGGTTAGRATTTCCTGGGAGCGTAAGGATGGAATTATGGAAAGATCTTTTATGAGAGGGTTTGGATGGGTTTGAAGTCGTTTGTGAAAACGTGTATAAAAAATGTGTGCTTCCTCTATACAATAGATCTCATATGAAGAGTTTGGTTAGAGATATAAGGCGGGGCATCACATAGTCGYCGGATTGATATATTTTGGAATGTTTGGATTTTTTGGCAGAACCCCACAGYTGGAGTCCATACGTCCAGATTGGTTTAAGTAGAGCTTTGTAGATTAATAGTTTGGTGTTAAGGTTGGAGCACTTATTTCTAATTAAGAGAGGTCTGAGCATGCGCATGCAATTATTTAGAGTTAGTCGTTTGGTTTGTAGGTGCTTATTTCATGCCAGTCTTTTATCAAGGATCAATCCTAGATATTTTACAKTATCGGAAGTGGGAATTTGTACATTGTTAAGGGTTACGTTTGGACATATCCCTTGTTTGAGTGTGAACGTTTTGTCTTGTGTGTATGGATTTATTGCATTATCATTGTTCTAAAAAATATTACTTTCAATTACWACTTTTTCTTCAAAACATTTGCTTTCTAACTTTTTTAGAACAAAAGACCGTTGGAAAAAATATATTGTGGTACGACAAATATGACCCCATATACATTGTATTATTGTTATCTAAGTCACAGATTATATAAAATGTATTATTATATTTTATCATAGACCTTTAGTATAAGGTCTATGTATTTTATATAATCTGTGACTAAGCATAGACGATAGACCACAGAATAGGTGAATTTTCACCTTTTCTGTCAGACCATCTCGTGTATCTTAATTTGTAAAATAGGCGATAGGCCTATTTCATATTATCACAGTTTATATTTTATATATATAATTATTACATTTATATATAATATATTATACATTTCATCTATTCTGTGATATTACCTACATTCTGTTATTTAGTCAATGATTTATTGATCTAAGGTCTTTGTTATCTAATATAAAATATATCATATATCTATTATAATTAGATAACAGCTTCATTTACGTCGTCTTCTATTGTGTGTTTTTTATCTATTCTATGGTATAGTTGTCCCTGTTTACAATTCGTCAAAACGACTAATACAATACGAGGACGAGGTCCCTAAGTCTCATTATCACGCATTCATACCTTTATAATGAACAATAACAACAATTGTAGCATTCTTGGGCGTGAAGGCGAATCATAGCGCGGACGACGGATCTCAAATTACGTTTGATATTACAATTTACAATTGTTTATTGTAACGATTAACGATAACGAAATTTAAATTAGTATTTTAGTGATAGGTATTTAATCATTAAGTTTTGTTCGTGGAATGTCTTACAATTGTTAAAATCTATATAAAATAAATGCATTTTTTCTTTTAAATAATATCGTCTGAGCTTTGTCATTTTTTTTCGTTTCCTACATTGGAAATATGTTTTTCGTTAATAATTTGCTGTCCGTTATTGCATTAATCATAGTTGTAATAAACTCGAGTAAGTGCCTACTGTAAATATATTATATATTATACACAATTTAATTCATTTTTTTTTTCAAATTATATTAGGTAGGTAATGGGTGTGTCGATTGGTTGGTATTTTCAAATTTAATATGGCCTAGGTAGATGGCTAATGTGGTTTTTATAATTTAATTTTTATTGTAACRTTTAATTTTAAGTAATTTCCCTGCTTTACATTACATATCAAATTAACGTATGATATTTTTTAACCACGATTCAAATGTTTAAAATTAATAATTTGCAATTAATCCATAAATTATTTTAATTTATAGTGGGAAAATACTCAATTATAGCCACCAACAAAAAACTGATACTTATCATTTATTATTATAGTGATATTAATTTTCTGTTCACAGCGACAGGTCTTTAATTTTTAGGGAGTGCTTAATTTTTAAATTATGTCATTGTTTGACCATCTTATAACTGCATTAACTTATTTCTTACTGTTAATAATATACTTTGTATTTTTTTAGTTTTAATATAGGTATAATATTATCATATTAACATAAACGCTATAGTCATATTAAACATCAAAAGCGATCTAAACTCTACCGTCAATTATATTTATTAATTAAATTTCAAAGACATATATTTTATGTCATTATCAAGATAAATATTTTTTGTTGTWTTTCTTTTTTAAATATACATTTTTTTACATTATTATGTTGTATCTTCAAAAATGTAACGTTTTTCAGTGCTTTCCATAGTGTTACAAACTTGAAATTTAAACCATAGCTTCCTAACAATAGTCTCAAATTATGAATTTAGAAGTGAAAATAAATTTTCTCCATTCCTTTCAATAAGTGTAACATTTTTTTCTCTAAATCATCAAATTTCTTCAAAAATTATAAATATATTGATTAAAATATTTCGCCTTTACCGGTTTTGACATATATACACTCAAAGATTCCCTTTTGTATTTCTGTAATTGGTGTTTTCATCAAAAAATTCATAGGAAAAATAACATAATAGATTCCAATCGAGAAAATGAGCAACAGTACAATAGTTTTCTGAGCAATGTATTATTTCGTGAGATGGAAACTATCTGAGCACATGTTCCCCAATACACATTTTGAACATTTTATTTTGTACTTTTCCTTTCATAAAATATTACTTACAACACTTATTGACATAATAAAATAATCCTCRAGATCACTTATATATCTTATGGCAGGCATAAGATATATTAATGATCTCATGTTTTTCCAAAAATAAGAAATTGTTTTTATTGTTATTAGTTATTTTTGTTGCCCACAACAATTATAAATGCTGAGGCCTGAGGGAAATAATGATTTAAAAATGTAATAACTTAATAGTGCCATAACTAAAACTCAGCTGGTTGTAACCAAAATAATCTTCTTTGTGTTTTAGGTGAGTCCTTGGAATGTTATGTTTGTACAAATCAAGATCAAAACCATGAAAAATGTTTGAACACAATCAAGACATGTGAACCAGAAGAAGATATGTGTTTATCAGAAATCAGTTGGGGATGTAGGAATATTTATAATTTTTGGCCATACAATGCCTATATATTTTGTTTCAAAAACATGATTATTATTGCAGCTCCACCATATTGGGTTGAAGGAGGGATCAAACAATATTATGTATCAAAGAGGTGTGCCACAAGAGCTACATGTGAAGCTGTAAAAACAAAAACAATGCCCTATTGCACTTACCTATGGTATCAAGATTGGAAATGTGCTGAATGTTGCTTAGGCGACCGTTGTAATTTTTATATCACTGTAAGAAATTTAATTCCAGAGATATATTTATTAAAATACTTAAGTACTTATTTTTCCGTTTTCCAGATGGGTAGTAGTGCAGTAAAATCCAATCTAATTGTGTTATTGACATGCATCGCCATATTAATTGGATTCCACGTTAACAAAACCATATAGCTGAATTCCAAATAGTTGTTGTTTTCAGCCTTAAAATTTTTTTTTATTAATTGACTTAAATTGTAATTATTTTAATACTAAAAACCATTAAGTTCAACTATAGGTCACATTAATTTCTGCTCTATTTTATTTATAAGCATTTATATATTTGGGTCATTTTTTAAGTATACCTATCTTATTTTTATRATTGAATCATGTAAATATTCTAATTCTGGTGTTTGGAGTTTTTAAACACACTTGAAGACTATATTTTGAAATCCTCAAGATTTTTTGTACCATTTGAGGTTGATCTTGTGATAATACAAACTTTTGTTTTTCATGTAGTAACCCTCCTCTTTAATTTTTAATTATTTGTGATAATTTTGATGTATCTAATTTAAAATTCTTTAACCAATAAGTTTTTGTTTACATAACTTTATGTAATAAGATTAATATATTATCTATAGTATTGAGTTAGGTAGAATAAAACAATTAACTATAAACAATTTATAAAACTGATCTTAATATAATAAATATTAAATTTAATATTTAATATATTTATATTTTTTTAATATTAAGTCGTTTTTAAAGATTATTACCATTAGAATAAACATTTTAATAACTTAAAAAACTAATCATTAGAATTTTGATTCAGGTACATCAATATTTTCGAGAAAATCTTTCTCTAAATAATTTGCAGTAAAGTAGGGGTTTTTATTAGAAAAATAGAAGTTAGTATCTCTCAAGACACTCCTTAAGTAATTCAAAATATAACAAAAATTGAAAAATAGTTTTTAGGTATACTTAAAAATTCTTAAAATCAGACTTTGAACAAATGTTCTGTTAAAAAAGTAGTGATATGCATGCTTAAAAAATCAACCTATATGTTAATATACATACAAAAATATACAAATATTACCAGTATTATTTTTAATTGTAAGTGAAAAGTTCCGTCCAAATATCAGGATTTTGATATAAGCTTGTATTTATTTCCGTCCAAAGTATTGTACTTGTTTTAAGAATCTTGTATAACTATAATTTAGAATAAATTTTATTTGAACGTGTTGGTAATTAATATAAAATATGTTAGTTATCATTTTTGAATTTTTTATATTTGTATTAATTGTTTCAATAATATGTTTATATAATATACTACTAACAAGCCATAATTTATTTTAGTATTCAATTTTTAATATATCACAAGTAAACTTAAATAATATGAAAAACCAATTGGTGCAATAATACAATGTGGTCTTAAATAACATAATRCGAAGTTGCAATCTACAAACACGTTTATGAAGAATAGTATTACCGTATTAATGTGTGTGAATCTACTGTTGGACATTGTATTGCGTTTATATATTTTATCCAAATCTAAATTTATAAATATTTTTGTAGCAATAATATTGATGTCATACTTAATTGATAAAATAATCATTTGCAACTCTACCTTGAACCCTAATTCATTAATACTTCCTATATTTGTTCTTATTATTTTGGACATATCGGGTATTTAGAATGCCGGGTTTAATCTTATAACTATTAAAAAAATTATATTRACATGTAAACGGGAATTTTTTCGCAAAATCAGTTTTCGACCAAATCGATTTTTTTATATGGTTGTTATTCAAAAAATGATCACTGTAAATACTTGAAATTTTCACCAAATGTTTATGTTTGTGTTATCTATATAGTATATACAGTTTAATTTTCAAAAATGTTTGACTTTTTTTGAGTTATTTATAGACCACTGAAATTTTTAATTTATTTATAGTGATTAAAAAATTATAAGAATACATAGGCACAATTTTTTTTTTATAAGCGTTTATAGTTCAAATTTTTACGAAATCTGTCGAAAATGCGAAAATTTGCAAGTAATTTTGAAGCTGAAAAATCATAAAATTGTTTGTGTTTATATCTAAGGATTAAGAATACAACACTAAGTTTTCCTTCAAATAACTATAGAGAAAACTCGAAGCATCATTATAGGAAAAATTTTAAGTGCGTTTGAATTTTAAATTTTTACGAAATAGCGTAACGATAAWGATTTATCCTCAAAYGATTTTAAATATTTGTTATTATTCAAAAAGTATTAGTCATAGACTAAACTATAAATATTAATCCCAAATATAAMCAGTTATAGTTAACGAGTTTAACTTGGTAGGCAACACTATTTTTTAGTAGATTATGTTATTGTTATAACCCATTTARTAAAATTGTTTGATACAATAAGGTTATATCCAATATTACAAGGTTTGTTCTACCCACTAAACCCTATGGCTATGGTGTAAGTAGGTACATAAGACATAATGCATTTAAATTCACTTTTTATAAGGAAAATAAAATAAATAAATAAAAATTTAGGGTTTGATTTAGGTTACATATTGATTTCTTATTGAAAAGTATTTGTAAGTTAATTTTAGGGATAGTTCTATCAATCAACTGAAAATTAATGATAATTTCCAAAAAGATGTTTAACGCATTGCTTGAGACAGTAAGCCAATTTCACTCTTTAATAATGGGCAAAGGCTTTTTTTTTTCAGAAATTTTCATCCTCATTTTCTGAATCGCATCTTTTAAGTCCATACCTAGGATCTATAGAGTATCCGTGGTAAAATGAGTTGTTATTAATTTCCTTTTTTGAAGATAAAAAAAAAGTGATCTCAATAGTCAATAATTATACCATTCCATTAAATCAATGTGAATTTAATATTAAATAGAATTATACACGTCGGTTATAATACAAAAAAGATGTGGAGATTAGCCCTCCAAAGTATTCAAAAGTTAGTACTTATTATTTAATACCAAGCATGTATCAGTTTTAGAAAATATTATAATGCGGGCTTCAACCACACAGGTAATACTGATAAGGTATACTAAAGAAATACTGAATAGTATTCATTTTGGTTAATTTAGAAGTAATATGATTACAGTTTACTTGACAGTCACTCTGTCTGAACATAGTCAGAAATTATTGAAGTATTTTAAGTTGAAGGTATAATACACTTGATATATAGGAATGTCACAACAAGCAAAATTAAAATAAACAAGTCATATAAAAAAAATGTCTATATTAATTATATACAGTTTATATATCACGAATGTTAATTAAAATGACCATGTACAACATCAATTTTACGATTACAATTGCAAATTAAAAAAAAAAAAATTGATTAAAATTACATTATACAACAAAATTATATACAAGAGCCTAAAATTGTACAAAATTCATTTTGATGCAATAAATATCATATATACATTCATTTTCATGTTAATTTATCAAGTTCAATTGATACACATTATGATTCATTGATTAATTGCACCTCAACATTTTTAATTATTATTATACAGAGTATTCTCTATGAAGGAAAAAAATAAGCGTAACAGTCACAACTTCACTTGAAACAATATCTAGAGTGAATTTATCTTTTTATGAAAAAACATAAGAAAGACCATCAAAATTTAAAATTAACATTTTTCTTAATACTATTTAAAATTATCTTTTGTTATTAGGTACTTTTAACATCAGCTATTATTTAAATCGATAATGGTAACAGCCTATATCTAATTTTATTACAAATTTTTATATAATATATAATAAGTATGTATAAATATACATAAGAAGTTACGTAGGACATTTATGAAATTGTACGTAGAAATTTAACAACATTTATTAAATACATCAATGTGATCTACAAAGAAAATAAAAAATTTAAATTAACACCATAAAAGTTAAATATTGTTATTCTTTGACATACAACTGAAAACAATAATTTTCTTTGAAACAATTTTTAAAAGGAACAAAAAAATGCTCAAAATTAGTCTGTTAATGGTAATATAAAAAAAAAAACCAATAGGTAATGTGAACCTAAACTCAAATAAAAATAATTTATCTAAAATCATATTATAGGATTATGTAATTTAAGTTGTGCGTGGAGTATGTGAATTAGGGGACGAAGGTATAGTCAATACAGTTGGTTGCTGTTGTTGAGGAGCCATAGACACAGCAACTATAGATCCAGTTTGACCTGATGAGCTTTGTACACGTAACTGACCTTGGCGTACAGACATTTGCTGACCTTGTTGAAATACAACCTACAAAATATTATTTTATACAAATTATAAATGCATAACATTTTTAAACTTTTTAACAATTCTTTTTCTACATAATTTTAGTTCTTATCGAAGAAATTAGGTTTCTTACTTTTTTGAATGACTTCACGGAATTTTAATTTCATAAGATGAAATAATTATCTGAGAATTTAGAGTATGAAGTTAAGATTGTTAAGCTATCATACAAAAATGAGAAAGAAACTTATAATAATAGTAAAAATATGTGAAATGGTAAGAGGATATAGGAGCATAGAAAATAATCTTAATTTTTTTTTTAAAGATTAATAAATGTACTCTAATTTTCAGTGTTGATTCCTTAATAAACTGGAGGATATCCTACTTGAAAAATTAGAAATTGCTCAAAAATATTATTTTGGATTTACACTCAACTTAACTTTGTTTTTAATCTCAACGTGTATCTAAATATTTTCAAAATATTATGAAGTAATTTCAGCTAAGTACGARCAAAGTTTMCTTTCCTTCCAAAGAAGATACTGAAGTTTAAAATATAAGCATATACTTGTTTACTAATTGTAAGTGTGCACACACACAGTTTAATCAATACATTTCAAATCTATTTTCAAACCTGAGATAGTATGTTGGAAGAATGTCCAGGATTTCCAGTAGTTTTAAATACATTAGTCAAAGAACATGGTTGTAATGTTGAACGAGCTGTTTCAATCCCAACACCAGATGTTCTCAATGTTTGAACTGGATTCACCACCTAAAATTAAGGGTTATTTAAAATGTTCAACATTATATAAAATTTAGCACGGGAAGAAATAACATTTTTTTAAGATTATATATAATAATGAATTTTTTAAAGTTCGTAAATAAAATAGTTCAATAATAATTAATAGATGGAGAACATACATAGAATGTAAGTAGAACATAATTATAATGTTACATGGACATAGGTATGTGTACAGAGCTCGAGGTCAGGCTTGACCTGACATTTTTCGGGGCTTTGTAAAATTTGCATATATATTTTATAGAGCTAAGCCGATAGTAGTTTTTTCTGATATTTGATATTCCGATTAATATTGCCAACATAAAAAACTTAAAACCTGATAATTTTTTCAAAAACCAATAGG